TGAGCTTCCTTTGAAAGCCACCCAGTGCTTCTAAGTCTGAGCTGTTAATGAATTCCTGCTTTGATGAGTCCCAGAGAGGGCAGCACCTCCTGGTGAACGTTCAAATCTCTCTGCTAGGTGATTTGAATCGCTGGACAAAGAAGAAACCCACTACCTCTTGGCACACAGGAACTACAAAACAGGAAGTGAGGGTGTCAATGCCTATCCTACCCTCCCAGTTTACCCCAGGTAGAAGGTCAGCCCGTGGGGGAAAATGAAGCAGGTCCCTGAGCAGAGCAAAAAGTGAGAGGGAGAGGAAGAAGGAAGTTTGAAAAACTCAAGGCCACATTTTCCTGCTGATCTAAGGCCCAGATGCATCTCTGTTCTATTTCTTCAATCCTTAGTTTCCATGAACCAGTAAATGCCCTCAAATATTCTGGTTGTCAAACTAGCTGAAGTTAATTTTTTATTAGGTTCAACATAAACCAAACCACCCCCCAAAATGAAACAAATAACAAAGACTTTCCCAGTCCTCCAAAACAAAACAAAATCAACTATAAAAACAAATGTAATCCCTGCAGCATAGCTGTGCACGGCTGATAGATCCAGCGACTCTAACTCTGCGCAGATCTATGAAAGGCTGGTTGACTTTAGCTTCCAATAGTCCCTGAGATTGAAGAGTGTAGAAGTCAAGAAAGTAGGATGAGCAGAGAGCACTCCTCAGGGGTGACCAAAGTTTAACGTTCCCCTGTCCGGGTTGCATGGCAACTCTGCTCTTTGGAGAAGTAGAGGTGAATAACCCTGCTAATTTCTTCTTTCAAATTAGGATTGGGGCTGAGGATTTAGCTCAGTGGTTCCACAGCCTGCCCTCAAAAGTGCGAGGTCCCGAGTTTGATCCCTAGTACAAAAAAAAAAAAAATAGTATTATATTTATTTCACAGAGAGAATGAGTGAACTAACTGCTTTGAGCCAATCGGCCTTTCTAAGTTGCTTTTTAAATTAAGGAGAGAATGAAATCCTTATGGAAGAGGAGAAAGGCACATGCAGGAACGACCTGGTGAGGAAAATCTGCAGATCTTACAAGCCCTGCCCGCAGTCAGACGCAAGCTGAGGTTCTTTTAAATGTCTTGATTCAAAGACAGTGTGTATCTGCCCCCACCCCCAGGACTGATCCGTGCAGCTTTCCTTGGGGGAGAATGAATATTCTTTATCTGCTTTGCAGAGGAAAACAAAACATAATGGGAAACAAGAGAAAACAACAACAAAAGTCTTTAAAGTTCAAGTAAAAGAAGAAAAAGTGGAGAAGCAAGTTCTGGTTAGAAACCACAGACCCGTAATTTTACACTCTGCAGCATCTAAATAAGTAGAATCATGCAGTATAAACACCACTGATAAAGAACTACCGCAGTGTTTAGAAGCCTTAGGGGGGAGAAAAGACAGTGTAAATACTTTTTTTTTTCCCCACAAAAGAAACATTCTCTATAGTTTCAGAAAAAGCATTGTTTTTAAAGAAACTAAGCAATGTCTCTCCAATTTCTCATTTAAAGTAAGTATCATAAACAGGGTCATTTGGAGAGATTAAGATGTTTGTGAATCAAAAGTGTCCACAATTGTAAAGAGTTTAGCTTGAGTAGCTCTCTAAAACTCTGAAGTAGCAATTAATCAGTAAATCTAATATGCACTTACTCAATATTAAACAGAACGCTCACTCCAGGCTCCATACCCATCCTGCCCATGGACTTCCCTGAATAGCTCTCTTTGATATACTGGAGCCCATAGGCATATTTTTATTGACAGTTCATGGACTTGTAGCTCTTGGTTCAGAAAAAACAGTCAGTCAGAAGCAGTTTAAAATCTCCTGCGGTTAGCCGGGTGTGGTGTTGCACGCCTGTAATCCCAGCACTCGGGAGGCTGAGGCAGGAGCATCGCTGTGAGTTCAAGACCAGCTACATAGTGAGTTCCAGATCAGTCTCAGACCCTGTCTTAAGACCCTGTCTCAAAAAAAAACAAAGAAAAAACAATCTCCTGCAGTTGACATGAATATATGGGAGAGAGGAAGAGACAGGGGTGGGTGCCATCAGTGTGTTAGATGCAAGTGTGACCGTGAGACGCATTATTGGGTATAAATGAAATAAGAAGAGGTGACTTCCTGTTGAGTATCACTTCATACTGGAGTTAGTGCTTGCAGCAGCTACCCTGGAGACAGACAAGGGAGTTCTGGCAGTGCTCCCCTCAGATGCTAGACTGTTACAGTGATGTGGGCTACTATGTGGGTCGCAGTTCTCAGAATCAGTCTGTATCCCCATCAAGAGATGACTGGACAAAGAAATGTGCTACAGTGGACCCTTGACTTACGGACTCCATTGGTTTCCGAGGGCTGGTTGTAACTAAGTCAATGCAGCCGAGATCTGGATGTTTACCTGGGTACACACTATAGATGACCAGAGGCAGAAGAGTCTTGCATTAAACCTGATTAACCCAAGTAGATCATCTGTCTGGGAGTATCTGAGGGTCCACCGTATTCGTCTACAGTGCGGTGCTACTCAGCCCTGAAGAAGAAGAAACTTGAATCATCTGTAGGAAAGTGGATGTCCCTTGAGACTGCAGCGTTCAGTGCACAGCTTCTCTTATATGAGAAACCCGAATATAAATCATCTCAAGAGCTAAGGAAACTAGAGAATAGGAAACACGGAGCGAGGTCTTTGGTAAATGGAAAGGGGAAGGAGAGAGGAAGGGAAGAGAACGAGGAGCACTGTGCACACGGACCAGCTCCCCGCCGTGAGCGGCATCAAGGACCGCAGCCCTGCACCGATAAAGCACCGTGAACCAAGACACCCGCCCTCCTCACCACGGCTCACCACCCGGCCACGGCCAACGCAGTGCGTTGAGCGCAGGCTCCGCCTCCTCCGTTCCCAACCTTGGCTTTCTTCCTTAGGGCTCTGCTGCTTCGCAGCTGCTGCTTTTCTCCCTCCTTTGCACCTTTCAGCTCCTGGTCCCATTTCCAACTCTCCTTCCTTCTCTATCTGAATCTCAGTCTTTCTGAGAGAGAAGAAAGTCTGGTTCTCTGGTAGTTGGTTTGAATCTTGCTGAGGAACTCTATTCCAGGCTGCCCTTTTGGCTTCTGGCCAATGAGTGGATCATCCCCTAGGGAGTCAGAACTCACTCTGAGCCTAAGTAGGCAGGGACTTGTAGTCATGTTTCTTAAGGGACTTGTGAGCTGGGCATGCTGGTGCATGCTGGGTTCCAGGACTCTGGGAGGCAGAGGCAGGAGGATTTCAAGTTTAAATCCAGCCTGGAGTGCTTAGCAACTCAGTGAGGCACTGTCTTTAAATAATAGTAACATTTTTTTAAAAAAAGGGCTGGGGACATGGCTCAGTGTGAAGGCCATGGATTTAATCCCAAATACTACAAAGAAGGGAGAGTTGGCCTGCGGAGCGCTTGGAGGAGCATAAACTCATTCTTTTATCTTTTTTTTTTTTTTTCTGCCACAGATTTTAGCAGAGTTGGGAAAAGACAGAGCATTTTAGACCTTTGCAGTGAGAAGTAACGGTATAGCACTCACATGGTGTGAGAGAGAGAGAGAGGCTTCCCTGCGGTCATTCCCTTCTTCCTGAAGGAAAATCCACCCCCTCCGCATCTTCCCCCTCCTTTCTGCCTCTGCGCTTGCCCAGCCTCCAAGGACTCGCGGGCATCCACTGTGTCTAGGACCTGACTCTCCTAGCTCGCCGGCTTCCCTTCTGCCCCTATGGACTCTGCTCAACCTCTCTCTGGTGCGGAGACCCCGTGAGCACCGTGTCACTGCGCCAGTGTTTGGAGCTCTCCCGAGACTGCATTCGGCCCCACTCACAAAGCGTGAGCGGTGAGGGTCCCTTCATTGTCCGCTCGCTTGGGCATTAGACAGATCTGTACCAGCATTTACCTTCGGGGCTGATTGATTCTACTACTCTGCAGCTCAGCAGGAAGAGAGATGCAGCTGACATCCACTCGTGGGCTTCTTGGCAGAGACGAATGCAAATGATGTCCGTGGTCCTCACTGATTAACTTGGCCAAGAGTGCCGGGGGCGGGGGGAGCAGTTCCTTGTTTATTAGTAAGTTATTTCCAGTATGTCTTCGACCGTTTACATCTCTGGTTTGCAACTTCTGCATGATCCATCCTCAACAGCAGATTGTTTTTATCTTTAACTGATGAGCTGAGTGAATTTTCTGAGTACTGTGGATTTTACATCGTTGTGAAGGTCAGATTTTAACTGTCTGCACCTTGAGCTTTTGGATCACTCAGGGACACAGGACAACATCATTCTTAGCTGAAATGAGCTCCTTTCTAGGGAGGAGGTCACAGGAATGAGCCCAGGGCCTTTGCACTGACTTATACCGCCAGCCCCTCTCCCTTTTCTTCTTTAGGAGAGAGTCTAAATTTCTCAGGCTGGGCTCAAACTTGCAATCCTCCTGCCTCAGCCTTCCAGAATGGTGAGATTACAGGTGTGCACCACCATGCCTGGCTTTAAAATGCTCTTTTATTGTCTGTGATGTCAGTCTTCTAGGCTATCTTGTACATGTCTAGGCCACTCTTCCTTGGTTTTGTTTTACAAAGCTTCTCTTCTTTTATTATTTATTGTTTTTATTATTTAGAGGTTGAAGTACTTGGAACTTAGTACTAAGCCCTGTTCTTCATCCACATGCTGAAACTTGCCACTTTGCATCTCTCTGGGTGGGTCCTGCCTTCTTGTATCTCCATGTATTTATGCAAAGTGTCAGTTTGGGTGATTCACACCACGCAAACTGTGTTCATACTCAAAGCCAACATATTTCAGAGTCCAGAGGACTGTCTGCAAACATGGGAATACAGCAAACATTCTTCCATAAACTTAGAGAAATTCTCTATTTGGACCATGCACGGTAAAGTACAATGAGGTGTTTGTGCCAAAATAGTTGATGCATTTGTATCAATTCAGATTTATTATCTACAAAATTCAGTGTCTCTCTCCTGTTGACAGTACTGAATAAATACAGTAATTCTTGAATCTTGATCTTGCCGTTCCTGTAACCTTCCTTCTGTGTTCTTTCCTACAACTGGAAGATTATAGCTGATAAAATCCTAAATTTCCATACCAATAATATATTTCGGTTACATTGCAATTAGTTATAGTATGATATCCCTAAATTCCCTCAAACACATATTTATAGACTATTTGTAAGCCAGATAAGCTCTAAATCAGTCAATTTTATAACCAGGTATAGCTAGCTGATTTCTCAGATGTTTAATTGCTCTGCCACCCTTGGGATGATTATGTCCTCTCCTGTTCCTATAACTTAAGGGACCAAAGAGCTCATGGGAAAGCACTCATCCTACTGACAGATAAAGGACGGAAGAAGCCAGCAGTGACATTGTAAGGTAAGGCTAATGTGGAACCCAATCTGTCACCTAGATGCCCCTTTGGCCAGCTTCTCTAGATGCAAGACTGTTTGTGGAAGATGAACTTTTGAATAAAGAACAAGAACAACTAAAAATGCTATTTTGTTTCTCCCTGGAGCCTTCGGAGCCAAAAGCACCAGGCATAGAGTCCCCAGGGGTGGCCCTGCCAGGGGTAACAGCAGCCCTGGCAGGGTCCTGGCACTGACAGCCGTACTGTGAATGGACACAGCTCACTGCAACCACGCTGGCTGCCCTGCCCTGGGTCCTGGGCATGTGTATCCCATGACCTTTTCTACAGCCCAGAGAAGCCTCCGCTTGGAGGGCAGTGGTGGCACAAAAGCAGCTGTGGTGGCCTTGTGGGCAGTTGACACAGCAGCTGCTGCTGGCCGGCACTGGTGGGATTCAAGACACAGAGGATCAGGGACAGCCTTGGTCTCAGTGTACAGGACAGCAGGCCTCTGTGGGACCTGCTAGGCTGGAGGTCATTTCAAGGGCAGGAGTGGCCCCTTTAGTGCACAGGAGGGTAGACCTTGACATACACTGCTGGCTGACACTCCTGTGCTGTCACAGGTGGACAGGACAGGTCATATGTGTGCCACGCCCACGGCCACACGGGCCAGACCCAAGTCACTGGCAGGGCTGCTGTGACCTGCTTTCTGTGCCTCTGCCTCTGGGTGATTGAGGTCAGCGCCGGTGTCTGTGGCACAATCAGGGTTGACGCGTTTGGGGAATGTGAATAAACTGGAAAACGTTCCCAGAGCAGATGGACCGTCCACAGTGTCTTTAGGACAAAGAGCTGCCGCAGGAGCCCCCAGGCATCCATCTGCGTGTCTTCTGCCATGTGACCCTGCCCGGCCACAGTTCACGGGATGGGGACCGAGGGCCGACACAAAGGCCGCCCATTTAGAGGCCACAAAAGGGCTCCTCAGTAAGGACCGTGACGGGCTGAACTAATCAGCCGCTCCTCGACGACTGAGTGCTGGGGACCCGGAGATTTGGCAGGGAGGAGAACAGGACGAGGAGGACAAAGAGGAGAAGAGCAACAGGGCACGCGGTGAGTGGTGCTGGCACAGAAAGCCTTTTCTCCTGGACAGCACTCGCACTCCTGCAGCTCTGTCAGCACAGCCAATGCGCTGAATGTAAGTGAAGAGACCATTGCAAAGCCAAGAAGAGAGGAGTAGAAGAATTCAGTTGGTGGAGCACTTCACAGACACATGAATGATCGGAAAATTCTTAGGTGTGTGTTTTGCTGTCTTTGTTTTCGCTTACTTTGCTTGTGTGAGGAAACGTTCACAGTGGGACAGGCAGCTGACACCTCAAGACGTGTAATTCATGCCCGGGAGGACTCTGCGGCTAGTTTTCTGCCATTCTCAGTTCCGTGGTTGTTCTTCTACTTAATCCCTGTCCCAAGTTCTCTCATCCTTTCAGAGAGCTTCCTGGTTCCTCACTCGTCTCCGGATGCATTTTTAAGATAAATCTGTCAACCTGAGGCACGGGCAGTGCGGCTCTGCTGGTGGCCACCTAACTCAACAGCAAGTATGAGGGCGGGCAGGGAACAGACAGGGTTGTGTGTGCAGACTCAGAGGCACATCTGAGTCTGTTTTCTGAAAAATACAAATGGCCTGCAGGAAAACTGTGAGCATCTTCAGTAGCTGTTCTCCCAGTTTAAGGTGTCTCCTTTTTAAGGTTTCTCCTCCTCTCCCCATCCACTCAGCTGTTCTTTTCCCTCCCCACAGCCCATCCCATACGACTCCTATTAAGAGAGCAGCCTGTATGACCCAGTAACACCCCAGGCACAGAGGTGCTGATGGACAGAACAAGGCGCTCACACCTTCCTGCCAGTCTCCCCCAGGAAAGAACCGACCACCCATGGTATCCACAGGTTCTCATTTCCAGCACGGACAGATGTTAGGCGCTAAAGGTCAGCGTGGTTTCTGTAGAGACTGGCTGAAGGAAAATGGCTCGTCTCCAAGCAGGAGCGTATACAGCTCATGCCTTCAGACTTCGACACTTCTCTTAGCTGCCAGAAATATTACTTCTGTAAAACCAGTATTTATTTATTTATTTTTAAACTTTCTTTGTTACACAGTAAAGAATACAACAATACCTGAATCATACTTTAAAGATTCACAGGATGACAGACCATACATTACAGTCCAACTCAGGAAAAAAAAGATAAACAAGAAACCACAGTTCAGACATAGTAGACTTAAAAGCTCAAGAGTTTGCGGACAGAGGCATGATGCCTAGACCCCACCCCCTACTGTTAGTCTACCCTTGACTTGTGGTACACGTCTAAATTAAGAACTGCACAACTTTAATTTTTCACAATAATGTCACAGAACCCAAAATAATATTTTTTAAAAAAACAGAGAGAAGAGATAGAGGACGCCCTATTCCTATCAGTGACCACCATTCAGTTCTATCCAATGAAGATACCTTCTTTTAAAATGTGTAAGACCTACAGATTACACTCTCCCATAGCCTATATATAAGTGACAAGCAACAAAGGAAAGTAACAAAAGTTTTTTCTTTCTCTTCTTTAGGTTTATGAGATCTGCACGGGTGCCAAAAAGTGACATGGTTTGCAGCTATACAAGCTTAACTTTCAGTATCCTGGTTCTTTTGTGGCCCTTTGGCTTGACTAGACCAGTTTTTGTTAGCTACTGGTCTATACATGCTGTCGGAGGTAGAGTGAAACGTTTTGCCATTGAGGAGAATGTAGCAAAACAGGAGAAATGGAAGAGGAGGAGGAGGGAGGGAAGGAGGGAGAGGCATCAGAGATAGAGCTCAGAGTTAGGGATTTTTTTTGTATTTGTTTTCACTCAGGTGCCTTGAATTAAAAAGTAGTGAGACATACTGTACTAATCCCTATTAAGAAGATTAACAGTGCTGTTTCACATACATCACAGCTTCTAAAGACGTGTGAGTATGACATACCTCATTTTGGGGATTAGTTAACCCTTCATAGCCTAGAACATACGATAGCTCTGTAAGAAAGGACTGCCCAGTGTCACAAGCAGACCAGAAGGCAGAGTGAGGTCAAAGGATTCTGGGAGCCCCACCATAAGCCACAACTCACTCAGAACCTGGTGAGTGCTTTCACTCCACTTTAAGCCGGTGTGCTGGAAGGTGCACTTCCAACATGCAGATAGATGTATTTATTTGCTTATTGGAATTTTCTAAACTAAAAAGCCATTACAAGGTAACACTACCCAAATGAAATTAAAAACAATCTGTATATAAAAATACGGGGGGAAACGCTTTAAGAAAAACATTAAATTTAAGACTTAAAACCATTTTGAGGACTGCCTCTATGCAGATAACTTACAAGCCACTTAAACATGCATGCCAGGGTTGCCTTAACCCCCTCCCCGCAAGCTAATGGATCGTTTTCAGTTTGTAAGGAAATGCCTGGTGCACGTGTATATGGAGAAGTGTTCCCCAGCCTTGTCAGCTTTGGTTGACTACACAGCCTGCAGCCCTGCCGACTCCGGTAAAGCAACAACCATATCCTGCTACTGTGTTCAAAACTAAGAAGAAGTTCTGGTCCGGACCCTGGACAATGACGGGTTGATGGATCGGCACCTTTCTGAACATGTTTAACCAGCTGATTATTTGGAAAGTGGAACTGTTGCTTTGCAAAATCCCAATTCTGGTCCATCAGATCAGTCTTTGACTGACTTCCCTTTTTGTAAGAATGCTGTGTAACCTAGCGTTCAGCAGTGTTAAAGCTGTCAGTCTACACCTCAGCAATTGGAGCTCTAATGACTTTTTTATCTTTTTCGTAAAATTAGAAATACTTAAACGACCTTACAGCAATCTGCATGCACTGTCTTTTTATTTTATTTTTCTAGTACCAGGGATCAAACTCGGGTCCTTGCACTTGCGAGGCAGGCGGTGGCACCACTCAGATGGATCCTCAGCCCTGTGTTTCTTTTCAAAACAGGATTTTTTTTAAAGTCCCTAATAATGCTTTTTTCCAAAAAAGGAAAAAAAGAAAAAAGAAAATCAAAGTTTAATTAAATTCTTGACTTGAAAAGGACCTTTCTTTCTTTGTTCCTCTCTCCTCTCTCCCTACCCTGCCTTCCCTAACAAAATCTGTTGGGGAAAAAAAAAAAAATACTTGACCAAATGATTCTAAGTGTATTTAGAATAATAAATAAGACTTATCAATAAAATCCTATGGGGGAAAATTATGAGTGAGGCTTTTCCCTACTAGATATTGAATTGTACTATAAAGCAATACTAATTAACACTCACATTTTGGGAGTAAACTTTAATCTGAATAATTTTCCATAACCACATCAAAATTATCCTAAAAATTTAAAATACATTTTTATTACCAAGATATCTTATCAAAACATCCCTAAAACAGGTCATTAAAATGTATTTTAGAAATATAATCTTGTATTGAAATTATCAGTTTGTAAGTGATTGAAATATTAAAATCCTGAGGAATTAATTGTAATGCAAAGACTAAAGATTTTTTTTAACAATTAATTGATCTTTCTTTTAAAAGAAAGAAGTTAGATTGCTAAACAGTTTTAATTTGTAAATAAGCAAAATTTGTTTATATGTAAATCACATATTACATGTATTTTCTTCATTACCTCTCTGTTATATACAATGTAGTAACTGCCAGGAAATCTGGATTTTTACAACCATTCGCATATATTTTACCTTAAACAAATAATAGTAGGTGAAGCTTGAAACAAAAGCCATATGTTATGTATTTGTTTTCCTTGTTAACAATTTTGTAAATGTTGTAGTTCTATAATAAATGTAGTAATAATTAATTTAAACTGGAAAAAACAGAACATCTACATCAATGGAAAGATGTACTAGAAATGCTTAATCTCTATTTTATCTATTTTATGACAATGATAGATAACTTCTGTTTTATTTGATACTATACTGTTTGTAGTTAAAAAGTAAATCTGTATTAATTTTATAGTCATGTCAACTTGATACAATATTTAGAAAACTTGTCATGTTATCTTCCCAGAGTATATTTGTCCTATCGTTACTAAGCATAGTTATAAATCTAATCCAATAAATTTGTCTTTGAGAGTAATGAATATATGTTAATAAATTATGAGATCTGAATATCTCCCCCTTCTTATATTTATTGTCTTGTAGTAACTACTTTACCCCCATTCACATATAACTGGAGTAGCCAAGAAGTGTACAAAAGTAGAGGTGTCTATCTTTTACATCTTCAGATAAGCGCCATTAATAATTAACTCACTTATTCATTGAACAAAAACACAGTAAAATTCCAAAGGAAATCAAAGCACTGAGACCCAGACTGTTTAATACACACGTGGACTCTCAGTAAAGGCACAGATTTTTTTTGTCTGCTCTGCTTATGGGATCAAGTGTTTATGGGCAGAACAGAAGACACATGTTTCTGTGAACTGCTGCCCAACTTCATCAGTGTTTTCTTCCTCGAGTCGTGGGTCAAGGCCACAACCTGGCTGACGGGCCGGGGTTGGCTGCTCACCCCCTGGTCGAGAGCCCTAAGGAGCTTCAGCGCAAAGTCTGGGGAAAAGGACTTTTCCAAGAGAGAGTGACGGTCCGGCAGCCATGGTCTTCCCCCTTCCCAGGACACGACGGGCCCACCCCTAACCACACATCCACGGGGAGACTGCACATCTCTTCCTTTTCATTGTTTTAGTACACGTTTGCAGCACATAATGTTTATACTCATCCTTCTCCATCTTATTCCTTTGAGTGGTTGGGCCTTGGCTGATACCTCAGCGTGTCTTTATTCTCTTCTTCTTCAGGAAACCTCCTGTCTCCTTCAGTGTTCTTCACAAATTCAAGCAATGTTAATCAAAACAAAAACCAGAGCAGGGGACGTTCTCCTCCTCTCCTCCTAAGTGAAGACGCAGTGAAGAACTTCTAGAGATCTATTTAGAATTCCTAAGCGCTAACAATCTGGTCAACGATTACTTGTTATCATCTTTCCTTTATAGTTACTTCAAGAATTATAGTTTTAGACCTAAGAGTGTCTAACTCAGGCCATATGAGGAAAAAAAAAAAAAGTAGATCAATTTTCAGTCCAAAGCTAAAACTTGGCTTAGTGGCTAGTTGTGATTCAAGTGACAACTGCTTTGCACGAAGGCACCCGTGTGAGACGACAATTGTGCCGAGTCACTGGGTGAAGCACCACTGCCCCGTAAAATTTATTACCAATCACGCAAGGCAGCACTTGCAGTTGCTTCACACAACTGCAGCGCGGTTTCTCATTTTCTTTCCATGCGTCTGTAACACCTGGGTAAAGGTAACCGAACTGCAGAGTTGATTCACTTAAAAGAGAAGAGCAGGATGTATTATTGACCCTGCAGGGACGGCGTTGGGCTTGCTTTGCTTTTTAAAAGCAGGCTTTCTCTCACTGCAGGCCTCGGGGAGCTGAGCTGCTCAGTAACCCTGCACTGTATGGGCTGTTGCTCCCTTGCTCCTTGCCCAGAAGGACGCTGCCTGTGAAGAAGGATTTGAGCACGCCACGCCAGGGGGATCTGGGCCCGCTTGAATTCTTCCTCCAGCCCATCACATACACATTTTTCACACCTAGAGTCATTTGTTTGCATTGCGGAAACATAAAACCATTTAAGAAATGGGGGATGAACTAATGGTAAGAAACTTCCCATCCGCATTCAATATCTCACAACGTGTGTGGTGAGCAACGGAGTGATTTATCTTACTCTCCTGTGTTTGGTTCCCGAGCTGGCGTCCTTTCCTGCCGATGGAATTCATCTGCTGTTCTGCTGTTCTGCTCGCAGGATGCAGGGAGCGTGACAGGAAATTCAGAGCAAATGGACCGGAAGCACTCTTTCCCCTTGTTTTGCCCTTTCTTGATCGTTTTTGTCCAGATATGAGGTCAAAGGTATCAAATCGCAGAAAGTATTTTCGCAGAAGCTTCAGGGTCAAGGCCATGAGCTAGGGACCTGAAAGGCAACGTTTGCAGTCTCCATCCGCCTGCCACACATCTTGCTGTGGTTAGTTCTGTGCAAGGGGTAAGGGGCCCACAGCACACAGTTAAAGGGTATCATATAATGCTAAGTACTGCAGTTGAAATCACTCCACTGGTGTCCTAGAAAGACGCTCAGAACCCAGGTGGCTCTGGTTGGTGCTCATCTCCTTGAGAATGCAGTCCCTCCAGAAGATCAGGAGCACCGTGGCTCGCCCTCACATGGTGTCGCTTTATGGCCAGATTCTGAGCCCTCGAAATCCCCCCTGGATAATTAATGAAGCACTGCCTGTCCAGACAATGTATGTTTATTGGTCCCTCTGAGGGAGAAAAGAAAACAAGTGCGGAAAGGTGAGAGAGAGGGTGCAAAAGGACTTTGGGGGAAGAAACCAATCAGCTTTCCTGTCCTGGAAAAGGGCTGGGCTCCTCTTTTGTTCTTGCTCCTAGTGATCTGGCATCCTTTTCTTCTCTCTCCTCATTTCTGCAGCCTCCCTTGGGTGGAATGATAGCAGGACAGCCAATTAGGGAGACACGGGGCGGGGTAGGGAGGAGGGGGAGGGGAGAGGGAGGAAGGAGGGGAAGAGGAGGAGGGTGCGGCACAGCCCTTCCCTGTCTGCAGGAAACCATGTCCAGCTGGAAGGTGACTATAATTGTGCTTCCTTTTTCCTTCCCCACGTCCTCTCAGTCGAGTTGCTTGGCTTAAAGCTTGTGGGCCACTAGGAGCCAGATCAGCACGAATAACCCACCCCCCAGGTGGTTTGAATTAATGTACAGACAAAGCCCAAGTATTCTGCTAGGATTAGCCTCTCTAGTCCAAGCCCCGCATTTACATCAGCCTTTCTTTAAGTGTGCACCTCAGACTACCTGCCCTGAGGGCTGCCAGTGAGGAATGAAGGGGCAGACAGGAGCAGCACACCTCAGACGGCCCAGCCCATCGCTGAGGGTGATGCTGGCTGGGCCTTTGCGACCGTACCATGACTGGTAAGTCACTGCCTGCATCTTGCAAAGTGCTTTCACGGACCCTGCCAGGTCCGCAGGCCAAACTCTCCAGAGGTTTTGTTTCTTGTGTTCTTTTCTGTGCTGTTGTGCTTTCCTGTGCAATCAGCCTAAAACCTCAAAATCAATAGGTCTTCTCACAAGAAGACTGGTTAAACCAGTCAGTTCTGAGGAAGAAAATAAAACACTGGAGACTGGAAGTCCGAGGCTTCCTCGTGGGGAACCGTGCGTGAAGGACTAGGTCTTACCTATCTCTTTGACCAGTGCGTGGAGCAGGACTGAGCTCAAACTCAGCTTTGCTGCTTTGTCTCAGTTTCCTCATCTGTAAAACAGAGCTAATGAAGTACTCACCGTGTAAGGTCGTTGTCCGGTTAAATGAGTTAATACAGGGAAAGTGCTAGAATGGCCCTGGTCTCAATGACAGCGGTTACTCTGCACAAAGCTACAGCTCCATAAACCCGCATATTAGCTGTCAAACTTAAGTATGATTGTCGTCCTTTGTTGCCTTCCATGAAGAGGCAGGATAGGTATTGCCGAAACGGGCATGAACAGATGTCATGGTGACTCTTCATTGGAACTTTTCGAGCGTAGCACTAGTGACATTTGGGGACTGGCAACGCTTTGAGATGGAGCCAATGTCCTGTAAATTGTAGGCTTTTTTTTCCCCTCGCTATCTCTAGCCTCCACCAGTAGTGCCCCGCTCCCCAGTCAGAGAAAAATGGAAGTGTTTCCATCTGTTGTCCGGTTTTTCTTAGTGGATGGTGCAAAATCAGCCTTCCCTGAGATCGCCTTACATCCGCCGGTGTATGGTTTCAGACATGTCCACAAATACCACTTCCTCACATCTCCCTAGGGCGAGGAAGGGCAAGTAATCTATCCTGGTTCACAGCTCCCGAGTTCCAGCTGAGATGAAGCGGCCACCTAGGGGGCTCTCAGGAAGACTGCTTCACGTGTTCTCCGTGCAGCGATGCACTCGCCGTCTCTGTCCCCGGCGTGCCCCACTGCTGATGGGTGCACATGGAAGTTTTGCACTGCCTGGCACTCTCTGATGGTTTCCTTACAAGACAAGCGCTGTACCTTTAAAGTCTTGCCCTTGCCAGATAGC